GCGACGGCGGAGGAAGCGGGGAACGTTTGGTTGGTCTGGGGTTCATCGCTGATGATGTTGTTGTTGTTTCCTCTGTTGTTGTTCAACGCTGCCGACCTTTTCGCCTTTTCTCTGGAGAGAGAGGGAGTCCCACCAATCAGCGTGTGTTGCACACACCACACAGCGAGAGCGGTACGGGAGCAGGGTGTGCCCGATACTACTGCTGCTGCTAGCTTTCGGCGGAGGAAGCGAGAGGAGAGATATTGATTGGGTCTCTGTGGGTCCATCGGTTGGTTGTTCTTATTGTGTTGCGACGCGGCGGGAGGGAGCGGCCTCTGACTCTGCTCTGGAGAGAGGCACACATACATCACAGCACGGAACCAGTAACACATCACGCTCGTTCCTAGACGATGTAGTACCACTGCTGTGCTGTGCACCTCTCTACACTCATTGTGGGCGAGAGGGTGTGTCGCCTCTGCTGCTGCTGCTATTGCTGTTATCTAGAGCGGTGGCGGAGGAAGCGTCCTGTTCAAACAATCAGCAGCAGCTAGAAGAGAGCCGGGGAATTTTCCAACGTTTTTTTCTTCCTCCCTAGCTGATGGCGATGGATAGCACGCCCCCCGTCCCTCTCTAGCTGGNGCACGAGCCTACTGCAGGTACTTTAGTGCAACCACCACAAAAAACTATTCCACCTCCAACTCTAGTAGACCAGGATATATTTAGTGAGAAAAAAACTCACTCTGCCGGAACTCGAACCCATGACCTGGCTCTTAGCAGGCTGCGAGGTTACCGACTAGACCACCGGGGCGACCGGGGATATATCCACCGGTGGACATACCACTAGACTATTGCTGTGCAATAGATACGTAGGTGCCACGAGGCTTCTCCGCCGCCGACCAGCCTCCAACCCGACCACGGTTGTGCAGCACTACGCCATCACCGCTTTCCTCTCCTGATGGACCGCCTCTATTGTCCGGCACATGGATACTAAAGAGTAGTCGTCTCTTCATCTCGCCGTGTGATTGGCAGTTCCCATGTGACAGCAGGCTCATCATTTTCTGGGCGCTCCACGTCTCCTCTCACCTCCTACCTCCCACATCTCGGAATCTACGACATCTCCGTCCGCTGTTGTCATCCTTAAAGACGTAGAATGGAGGGACCACCGAATATATATACAAGTAAAAGCAAACGCCAGGGCGCGATTTTGCCCTGTTGATCGGTCGATAGCTACTACTACAGTTGTTGCCACGTAAACAGATTTGCCCGATCGAATGGCGGAACATGCACAAGGTCTGAGAAAAGGCGTCAGTCGCCCCCCAGAGAGCTTTCCCAAAGTAAGTAAAACCAACGAGGCATCCTCGAAGACGCCGTGTCAGCGCTGTAGGCGTCGGTCGGAAGCAGACAGCAGCTACGGGGTATCTCCGATGTGGCAACGGCCCGAACACACGCATAGTTTTTTTCTGAACACGTTCCAAAAGATATTTTTTTTTTTGTTTTCCGAATATGACATACGTAACACATCGACCTCTATCTACGAAAAGAGTCCAAGACAACTTTTTGCCTTTTTGTATATATTTATTCTACAAATGCGATGTTGCCAGACCCGCCGCTCTCTGGCTCCTGGCCGCTCACTCTTCTCACCCCCTCTACCACCGCAGTCATACGCCCACCACCCCACCTTTTGCTGAAGAGCCCTTCCGCCCCGATCTTCTGCGGGAGCTCTTTCACAGCGCTCCTTTCTTCGCACCAGTGTCTCTCCTGCCGTACTTGGTGAGTGTGTGGTGCCCGGCAGAGCTGCGTCGGCCGCGACCAACGCCTTGGATCTCGGTTTCTCGTCTTTGTAATTCCTGTCTTGAACGTCGATGTCGCTGGAGTACTGCGCGATGATCGAGGTTGCTGTGCGACGATAGATGGCGTCAGAGGATCCCGGCATGAATGGGGCGGGCGCGCCGACGCGGTGTTGTGAGAGGAAGCACGTCAACTCGCTTGTCCATGACCCCTGAGCACGAACAACGTGGGAAACGCGGTTGGTTTTGAGCCAAGGATAAGGAAACGGCCGGACGGTTCTTGCATCACGTTGAACAGCAGGTTTCAGAGCGGGTCGCAAGCAGTAACGGTGAAGATTGCATAGAGCAACTGGCAGTTGTCGTAAGGCATGGCGATGTTCGCTTGTAGTTGCTGCTGCCAAGTGATGATGCATGGGGCCTGAAGAGCTGCCGGCAACGGACAGCGCAAGTTTTCGTCTGTCACATCTCCTATCGCACGGTCCGGATCGATGTGTGGGACCCACCAGACTCCCCCTGTGCACATGCATTCGAACTCTTGAATGCTGGATGGAACAGTTCTGAAAGGCTTGCAAATACGAAGGAAAGGCGACAACCCTCCTGTGTATCACCCAGTTCCCCCTCCTCCCCCCACGTCCGCTGCTACCTTGCACTCCAGACTCCATACACCGGTGGGCGTCCAACACCCCCGGCCTCGTAGCAGCACCAGCACCAGCAGCACCACCGCCACTCTCAACTACAAAATGGAGTTCAGAAGAAGCGCGACATCCTCCTTCTGCCTTGCTCTGCTCGGCCTTCTCGCCGCCACCATGCGCGCGGCTGCAGCTGACACAGCTTCCCCCAACGACCCCATCTCCAAGCCCGACTGTGACTCCGACATAGCGGTCTCGATCCGGTACGCCAGCTCCACCAAGCGCCTGTACCTCGAGTCGGCAGACGGCGAGACCCGCGGCGGCTGCGTCACCCTCGGGCAGATATGGGAGAACCGGGCCGGCAAGGCGCCGCTGTACGCGGTGGACCCGGAATCTGGCAATGAGAGCGAGAACGAGACTGGCACGTGGCTCCTCACGGAGGAGCTATATGTGGAGGACGGTATCACGCTCAAGGTTTGTGTCGAAGCTAGCGCGCTTGTTCCGATGATTCCAACGACAAAAAACGTCATCCAAAGTCACGTCCAGTGAATGTTCATATGCGTTGGGTCCCAACGTCCATACGCGTTAGGTCCAACCGTACTTTTGAGTTTCGTAGGGGATAAATACCTGTCCGACGCGTTTTGTTTAGCGCTAGGCAAGGTGGTTGTTGCCCGCCCTGGCTCTTGTCTTCGCCGTCTCTGGTTCAGTCTGCGGGTGATACACCAACACGCTTGTCTCGGTTTGGTTGCAACGACTTTGTCTTGTCTGTGGAAATAATTTACTATTCATGTATATTTATTATTCATATATTATTCATATATAAACGCAACCACACAGCGTGGAAGCATTGTTCGCTCGCGGTTCTAAAATAGTGTCTCATAATTGCTTCTCTCACCGGCGAACAGGTGTACGGGACGGGAGAGGGAGGAGATGCCGACGAACTCAGGTTACTGAGCACAACCGACACCTACATCAACCTCAGAGCACACGGTGGCAGCCTGGACTTCGTGGGGACGAAGGTAAGCAAGCAGGGCGCAGCACATTACTTGCCCGCGGCAAAGGCTCCTCCTCAAACCCGAGCCTTGTTTGCCGTGTGCGGGCTTTTGCGTTCATGCCGTCTATTTGCTGTTGCTGCTGCAATTCCCCTGCGGAAAAAGTACCAGCAATCGCACTTTTTGTATCGCCGACCCAACCCAGCTGCCCACCAGCATCCACAGCAGCCCATAACCTTCTCCAATCACGCTTTCTGGTCCACTGCCATCTGTTCAACCAACAACCGACCCATGTACTCAGGTGTTCTCGTGGGACACGAGCACCAACTCGCCGGACGAAGACGAAACCGACGGTCGGTCGTACATCAGCGCCATCTCGGAGATTATCACTGACGAGGACGAGACTTGCGAGGGAAATGCCAAGAACACCATGGGGGAGGCCCGCATGGACATCGAGAACAGCGAGATCGGCTACCTCGGGTTCCAGGACAGCGAGAGCTACGGGCTCACGTGGAAGGTAAACCATTTGGGTTGCACGATGATGAATTGTCGTCGTCGGAAAATCGTAAATCACTTGGCGGGTCGCCAGTCGGCTTCCCCTTGATTGTGGGTTGGAGATTGGAGACAGACCGTGAAGAGTGGATTATTTTCCTTGTATCCTTCAGTTATTCGAAGTATTTATACCAATGCTAACGCTTGTTTTTGGTTTTCCAACGTCGTTTGGGTGAACTTCGTCTACAGCACGACAGCGATGCCCAGATACATGACCCTGCTGCTGTTCCCGTGATCCTCGTAACGCCGATGATTGTCCCTCCCAGGTTCGTGGGTTCTGCAAGGACAAGTCTAACCCGGGAATTTTCGACGAGGTGAATGTCTACGGAAACATGTACGACAGCGACATCCACCACATGCGCTTCGGCCTCTACACCTACGGTAAGATTCCCTTGCTTTTTTTTTAATGGATATCGCTCGAATGGGTGACGCTTGAGTTGCGTGCCACCAGCATTTGCCGCAGTCTGTTTTCAATCTCACGCCGTGATCACATGAGTTCTATCGTGCGGGAGTCTTGGCAGTCTAAACTTGTTACCCTTGCTCATTCACGCCCGTGCCCGGTCCGTCATGCCATCCGACAGGCCACCAGCAGGGAGACTGGAGGAGGAACAAGATGCACGACAACTCTGGATACGGTAAGCTGTGGTATTTCTTGGTTGCGTCGAACAAGGTAGTTGCTTCCGTCGTACAAGTAGTGGCGGTGTTTCGTTCAGTATTTCGGTCCGCTCGTAGCTCTGCTGGTGCTAAGATTCCGAGTAGTTTGTCTNTTCGTTCAGTATTTCGGTCCGCTCGTAGCTCTGCTGGTGCTAAGGTTCCGAGTAGTTTGTCGCCCGAAAGCTGGCCGGATCTCTCGTGACAAAAACGTGTTCCAGATTTTGCTTGCGGTACTGTACCCCCTTACACCCTCGCCGTCGTCTCTCATTTGCTTCTTACCTGTCCCCTCCCCTGCTTCTGCTGCGTTGCTGCCGGCCAGGCTTCGACCCTCACGACGACAGCGACTTCCTCACCATCCACGACAACGAGGTGTACAACAACGGCAACCACGGTGAGGCTGTAATGGGCTTGTCACTTTGTGTGCTTCCTATGTTTGTGCCGGAACACACCGCGAATGGACATGGTGGGCTGTCGAGTGTCATATGAGATGCCATATTTTTCTGCTCTGTTGTCGCTGCCATCGATCCCTTGATGTCATCGGGAAATGAACAGTTCGAGATCCTTGCCTCCTTACACCTACCTTCCCCTCTCGCGACATTTCCCCCTTCTTTGATGACTTCGGCAATCCAGGTATCATCGCCTCCAAGCGCTGCAACGGCGTGTCTATCCAGGGCAACGAAGTGTACGGCGGTGCCGAGACTTCTGCGGGCATCTTCCTGCACCGCAGCAGTGACGACGCCATCGTCAAGGGTGAGTCATGTTGCGTTTATTCTTGGCGGTGCTGGGGTGTGCTGGGGTGCTTCCTGCCGTTGGCCGTTTCTCCCGCGCGCACTATTAATACTACTGTCCTTTCGATGGTTGTAACTAGTGGCTGGCCAGCCCCCCCTCGCAACCGTACACGAAATTCTGACCACCGTCTTCTTTGTCTATTTTTTGCCCTCAGGGAACTACGTGCACGACAACGGCGACGCCGGTTTGGCGATGCTCGAGTCGTTCAACGCCGACGTGTCCGATAACACGTTCGAGAACAACAAGTACGGCGTGCGGTTCAGCGTGGGCTGTGCCGACAACGTCTTCTCCGAGAACACGATCAGCAACAATAGCAAGTGAGTTTTCGTTTATGCGGAGGGAACCAAGAGATCGCTAAGCTCCTCTTGACGTGCGGCTTGGTTCATGAAAGATCGGACTTGTGCGGGATCATAGCTGAGGGGATAGGCCGTCAGTCAAAATGACGGCATCGGTGTGATGGTTCTCGGGACAACGCGGCGGTACACATCTTGCCCGTGTTCAGAACAACAACGCACTGACCCCAATCCCCTCTTTCCGCCTGCTCCAGGTACAACGCCTACTCGTACCTGGGGTCGGACGAACCGGACGTTGTATCTTCTGGGCGGTCCCAGAACAACGTCTTCTCACAGAACTCCTTCGCCGGCGCTGCGGAAACGATCAAGATCAAGGAGGCGGACGGCACCCAGTTCCTCGACAACGTCTTCGAGGTTGGCGATGCGGATGGTCTGGTTGTGCGGTTCGACGACGCCACCGGGAACCTCATGAAGGGCAACACCGGGCTCGACGACGGGGAGTTCGAGCTCAAGGTCACCAACGATTCGTGCTTCGACGAGGAGTCAGACTCCGGCTACGAACCTCTCTGCTGAGGAGGTAGGCGCAGAATGACCCAACAACGCATGTCGTTGACCCGCCTAGGTCGGTCTTAACGGAAAGGGTCCCGTCATCGAGAGACTACTCGAAATGTTTCACGTTGGGGCCACGTGTGTATGGAGGATGAGGTCATGCGTGCATTGGACAAACCGCTTGCTGGGTGTTCCACTATTTCTTCTCGTGGCAGTTGCTGAACGCTGTGCGATGTCGCGTACTTGTTGTGGTGTTTGTTGGTAGGGAAATGTTGGTTGATTGTGAAGGCAAGACCATCGGAACTCTTGTAGTTTGGCGAGTCGTGTTTTTTTTTAATTTCGTGTTTTCTGTGGCGGATCGCTGTCCGGCAATACGCAAGTGGGGCACACTTGAAAATTCGTTTTTGGCGGGCCTTGGCACTCCTGTACGACTTTGCATATCTTGCTGGTCGCTGTGCGGCGATTTCGTGGGACCACACTCACTATACGCGTTGATACCAAACATGTGTTTCCCAGTTACATAGTTAGCGATGTACCAGACCCTCATCACCCAAAGAAGGGTGGAATAAAATTGGTTTTTGCTTGTTGGTATTTCTGACTTTTTCGTGGGAGCTAGGCAGCACCATGTAGCATAGTTGTGCGATCTACCTTGTAGTTGATGTAATATCGGTGTTGTATGTATCCTCTTCGTTTTGGTGAGCTCTTCCTGAAGAGAAGGGGGTATAGTCTAGCTGTGTTCCGCCTTGGCATTTCAATTTTTTTGTAATAAAAGTGGTGTGGCTCGTGTTTGGTTGTTGAACTCCTGTCCGCCGTAAGCATTCCGTTGAGCATATGTTTTGTGGTTGATGCAAAACGGTAATCAAGTACAACAGCAGCATTTCGAGTCTTCGTGGCCGGGCTTTTGAACTGTGTTCGGTTGTGCGTCATTCTGACGCCCTGTCCTGCAAAGGTGCCCTCGATGCTGAAGACGAGCAAGAGTACTGGGCCCTTGAGCGTTTGGTGTTTGTGAGTAGTGACTCGTAGGGTGGTGTTGATTCGTTCGAAAATCCTGGAGGCAACAAACGATGTCGCAGCTTTGGGTGTGATCATCCGCTTCTCTTCCTTGCTCTTTCCTGTCTTCGTTCGTTGTGACATGAAAGAGCAGTTTTCGAACTCTGACGAACAATTTGAAAAGAACTGCGTTTTTTTCGCGCGGCGGGGTTTCTGCATCGATCAACGCTGCAGGCGGCTCTTCTTTTTTCACCAGATGAGGTGTGCCGGCAGTAGTGGACGGGCCATCCGTGCGAGCCCACCATCGGCTAGGCAAGGAAGGCATTTCGCAAGAAATTTATTGGCCTTTGTGACCCTGTGGTGCCAGACGTGTCAAACGTGCTTGTGTTTGTAAAACCACACGAGAACCAACTAGCTGGCGCGGTACGACCGTGTCACATTATCGTCTAGACAAGATGGGTGCGTGCATGTAACAATGATATGGGCCCACATTATGCCTTGTGCATACGATTGGTTGCTAAGCCATGTACCCGCCCTGGTTGTGTTGTTTGCTTCACATTTTAAACCGTTTCCGATCTCTCTTTACCCAGTACCTTGGTATGTTCGTACTGATCCCAACACTCGACGCGGTCGATTCCAGTGGTCGCAGGTCGACTTACCCTAAAAAGGTACCCTCAAATAATATTCCCCCGAGGGGTCCGCAAGTCGAAAGAAATCAACGACAGATATTCTGGAGTCCTCCACTCCCTCTGCACGCTATGCGAGGTAACAACTGAAACTAAGGGTCACCATCACGGGCCGGCGAGAATGAGGTACACCCCCTCGGTTCAATCTTTGTACTTCTCAACGAATCCAAGCAGAAACAAGGCCATCTGGCACAGAACAAGAGAGAACTAGAGAAAAGGAGAACAAAATGAAAGGAAGCAGCGCAAGGAAAAAGAAAAGGCAATAAGAAGAGCGAGGACAAAAAAGGACCAGGCCGAAAATAACAAGAGACATGAAAAGGCACACGGTGGAAAGACCACCAACGACAACCACACACGAGAAAATGGCCACCAACCAGCGATGCATTGTAATGGTACGTCATCACTAGTGGAGGGTTGGTGCAATGGTGCAGCGTTCCGCGGGGGGGGATTGGCTAAAAGAAATTCAATCCGGCACGTATCGCGCCACTCGGTCCGTCTCTTCTCGTTTGCTTTCTTCCCTCGCCGTCTCGTCCGTCTCCTGCCCCCCTCCCGCCCCACTGGTTGGTGGCTTGTGGTTTCGTTTGAGCGCCCGTTGTCGGCTGGCCTCCTCTTCCTTCTCGTGCCAGGAGGTCATGAACCTCTCAGCTCCCTGCAGCACCGCCGCATGCCAGGGTACCCCCCCCTCCGCCTTCGCGGCTTCCGTCCACTTTACTACTGTACGACGCACATCCTCCCAAGATACGTGGTTGGCAGCAATAATAATAGCAGGTTGCTTCTTGCGAGACTCCTACTTCCCGGCAAGCTGTTATCTACGGGGGAAACAAATTCAACACTACTTGATCGGGAGGTGGAATAGCTTTTTGTTGAGAAACGTACCTGTAGGCTCGACTAGTGTTCCTACCATTGGCCCGTTCACTACCCAGCAGTAGTATTACAATATACTATTGATTGAGGTGTGAAGGGCGCCAGTCAATGTGATGGGATTCCGAAAAAAAAATGTCTTGGAAAAAAACAATACCTCTGCACGGACTCGAACCCATGATCTCGAGAGTCAGGGTGGCCTTCACCGAGTTCATGAAGTGAAATGGCCTTTTCACAACGTCGGTGCCAAGCGACGAAAACCCAATCCCGACGGCAAACACCGAGGGGGGGGGCTGTACTCATAGTCGTGCATGCCGTAGTCGTTAGACCATTGACCTCGCATCCCTACAAAGCCGGGACGGAGCACGCCGGGTTCTCACCGGACCAGGCTCTCACATCACCAAGCGCGAAGCGCCGTGAGATATTCGGCGAGTCGCATGAAGGGTGCGCTGCATCCTGCTAAGGGTTTTCGGCATCTTGTGCTTACTTCCTTGCGTACGGATGACAGCTGCGTATGAATTAATTTATTTTCTGGTGCTTTCACTTCCAGAGACAGTTGTAAGCACTGTGTAACTGCCTCGAGGGTGCTTGACCATTTTAACACAACGTGGTGCGATCATCCCCCTTGCGCGGAGTGAGGGTTCTCCACCCCGCACAACATGATCTACTCGACCACCATTATGGTTACCGCCAAAAAAAAAAACCGGAGGTAAAAACAAAAAAATGGTATCCTGGTTGCCGAGTTCACGAAGTGAATTGGCTTGTTTTACAACGTCGTTGCCAAGCGACGAAACCCAATCCCGATGGTAAACACCGAGGGGGGGGGCTTATTTTACAACTTCGTTGCCAAGTGACGAAAACCCAACCCCGATGGCAAACACCGGGGGTGAGGGAGGTGTACTCCGGGGGGGAGGGAGGGGTGTGGTATATTAAAAAATAGGGCGAGCAGCTAAAAAAAAAAACAATGTGATGTTGTGCTTCGCTTGTTGGTTCGAGCTCCGACCGAGAAATCTCAAAAGCGTTCAAGCGTGTGATGGGTAACCAGGCTAGCACGGGAGGCACTGGTCGGACACTAGGCCTTCGCGCACAAAAGTGTAGAGAGGCGTACAGCAGTACATGTCGCACCAATGGTGGTGTGTACCAGAGTCTGTGTTGTTGGTGTCATGTGCCCCTCTCCGCGGAAAGAGAGGGAGAGGCCGCTGCTGGTGTGCCGGTGTGCTGCTGCTGCTGCTGCTGCAACCAAATGTTGATCTCTCCTCTCGCTTCCTCCGCCGATAGCTGACAGCAGCAGTGTATGGCATAACCTTCCGCCGTCTCGCTCTCGCTGTGATCTGTCTCTCTCTCCCTGTTTGTCTATGTCTGGCTCTGTGTGTGTGGTGTGTGGTTTTTGTTTTGTTGTATTTTTTTCCCATCATTGGACTGCCGTCTGCCCGCCTTTCTGGCCCCTATCATCCTCTTCTACCAGCTAGACGACCCACCAACCGGGGTCACATGGGAGGGGGGGGTTGGACCCCCTCCTGCGGTTGCTGCCTGAGATGTTTTCATGGCGAGAAGGGTATTGCAATCCCTTCCCTCGCGACTTATGAAGGCCATCAAGTTTACTATAACGACGAGCTTTGCAGCGCGTCGCTTCCAACGGAGACCAGGATGTAATTAGCGAGAAAAAACTCGAACCCATGACCTGGCCCTTAGCAGGCTGCGAGGCTACCCACTAAACCACCGCGGCGACCGGTTACTGCTGTGTTGTGCGAGGCTGTCTGTCTTGGTTGAAAATCAAACGACGCCTCCTCTCGGTGTTGCAAGGGGCCAGAAACTTCCGTGCTTCAAGTTGGGTACCGACGCTGCACTATCTCGACGCACCGAGCACGGATTGAAAAGGAAGCAGTTGGGGCAGCTCGGGCAAAATATTAGTTGTTGTGAAGACGTCTTAGATTGCAATTTGGTGCCGACCGAGATGGTAAAATGGGCTGGAATCTGCTGGGTAATATATCGAGGCTGGTCGCAGTCAACAGACAGACAGCCTTACTTGAGCCCGTTTTGCCCCCCCCTCTTCACAGCTTTTTTATAAAAACACAAGCATCCCTACTGGGCCACTACTCTTCAAAAACAACACCTACCTGTAGCCATTTTGCTACCCTGCCTGGCAGGGTGGCCAAAAAACCACCCTGCCAGGGTACCCCACCTTGTGAACGGCAGAAGGGTGAACCTGCTACAGGGTCTCTTATAGACACCCTGGACAGGGTCCACCCTACCAGGGTGGCCCTAACCGCACCCTGTATGCTAACTGCGGCAGCAATTTTGTGTGGTGTGCTGTTTTGCACGCTGTTTTTTCGTGGTTGTCGATGGCTTGTGAGCATACTCCTCCGGGTTAATCGCGATCGATCCCGGTTTTCATGCCATGTCGTCGCTCAATCGTACAGCACCAACGCCGACACGATTATCACGCGCATCCTCTGCACAGATCGACTCGGCATCCTGCAAACAATCATTTCTGCGTCAGGGTCGAATCCACATGAAGAATGTTAGGAATGTTGTTAAGAGTGTGCCCGATGCTCGTCACAGAACCCAAAAAACATCACGCAAATGCAATGGTGGGGCTCACAACCCCAACTTGATTGCCACACTTTCAGCGGAATGTGAATGTGCACGACATGTCCATTACGTGCACCAAGCAAATCAGTACGCATGATGAACCACACGCTCGATGAAGATCCAAGAAAAAAAGATCCAAGAAAACACGGAGAAGAAAACAATTAGTTCCAACCACCAAAACAATTGCACTCCATGCTTTTAGGTCCACGCAACTAGTCTGGCATGTACACGCTCCGGCCGACACTTTATTGTGCGTATAGACTAAAAACTCAATGAGTTCAATCAAGCTCGAGCGAACCTACTTGGCCCCTTGTCCGCGAAACACCTCAATACTTGAGGTGTCCCTACCCCCGGCGACACGGAAAAACATTTCTGCGTTGTGTGTACCACGTCCAGGGTGCGCCGGCGCGTATCGATCTCCAAGCGCTTCACGCGTTCCTCGATAAGGAACAGCAGTGACGAACTAAAAATAATGCCGAACGCTGCAACAAACCTGCTCCCCACCAAACACCACAGCAAGCGATACGCCCGAGAACATTTGCCAGCAATTCCGCGACCCATGCAGATGCTGCGCTTGTGAAGGACCAATCAACCACAACGATCAGTTCATCTCGTCGAGATATGCGCCGAGATCGGAGTCCTCCACGTGGACGTCTTCGGCCGGGGTCTCCTCCACGACGAGGTTGTCGTTGCCGCCGGCGTGTGGGGACAGGAAGCGCATGATCTTGGGGTTCCCGTAGTCCGAGTTTGGGATCGTCAGGATTCCGGAGGCGTGGCGACGCGGACCCGTCATGAACTGGAGCATGGAGTACCAGAATCTGGTCCGAAAATCACGTGGGGAAAGGAAACGCATAGGTACGCAACACGAGATAAAGTTGATGTATGGCTCAAGGATCGACGAAAACTCGTTTCGGCAGATGGAGTGACAGGCACAAGCGCATGACGAGCATAACAACACAAGAATGCCTTGTATTCCCTGACGACAACAGCACAAGAGTAGGAGGTGGGGGGATATTAAAACAAAGAGAAAACTACCCCCGGAGCGAATCTATCGGGGAATTCCGAAACTTGCAGAAATACAGCATTTGCACCAAACAATACTTCGGAACACGACCAACACGTGACGAAAACACAGGGCTTGGAGAAGCTTGCAAGCTGACGAAATCGAAAGTTCACAAACTTCGGTCAAGATGACACGGCAGCCGGTATTCAAGATTATTGGCAACACTGTCGTGAAGTTCCCTGCGTTTACCACCGGGTGGCACGGGGTGGGTGGGGGGGGGGCACTCACAGCATGCTTTTTTNCCTTGTATTCCCTGACGACAACAGCACAAGAGTAGGAGGTGGGGGGATATTAAAACAAAGAGAAAACTACCCCCGGAGCGAATCTATCGGGGAATTCCGAAACTTGCAGAAATACAGCATTTGCACCAAACAATACTTCGGAACACGACCAACACGTGACGAAAACACAGGGCTTGGAGAAGCTTGCAAGCTGACGAAATCGAAAGTTCACAAACTTCGGTCAAGATGACACGGCAGCCGGTATTCAAGATTATTGGCAACACTGTCGTGAAGTTCCCTGCGTTTACCACCGGGTGGCACGGGGTGGGTGGGGGGGGGGCACTCACAGCATGCTTTTTTTCACGCACATGTTACCTGCTCCTTCAAACCAAACCAGCAGGACCGCTGACACTTGACGTGCCCAAAGTTGTTGACGACTCCAGCCTACATTTTGCGAGTAAAATCAATAACTACCGTGCGACTCTCAATGGAGAATCCCACACCCCGATTTGGCAACGTCGGCCAGAAAAAAAAAAAGACGGGTACGCGGTTCTTGGCTTCATGCTCAACCAGAAGAAGCTCATTCCACCACAATTCAGAATTGGAATAAATCCGCCCGGCAATTAGCTGACGGAGACATACTCGACCCAACATCAGTTGGGGTTGACGAAAGGTCGGTTCGACGAAACTCACCCTACCTGGAATGCCTTCGCGTTTGTGGAGCTGTACCCGCCGTTGGAAAGCCTCCCCCACGCCCTCGCTTTCCTCGTGCACTTGCACACGACGCTCTCGAGTGTGCCGATCTCTACCACCGGGAGGGCAGCGATGTCGTTCGCCGCCGGCGTGACCATATGGCGTGTAACATGACGCGAGCAGGCAGGGGGGTATAGGTCGTCTGCGCAACATCGAAGTCAATTTTGCGGCGTGGTGACAGACGGAGTCAAGTTGTGCTACCGAACGGTGCGGTGCTACTGACGAGTGCATGCATCTGGAGAGATGTTACCTTACAGTGCGTGTACCGTGCTGCTACTTCCTACGGATACTACCTGCGATGCAATAGGAACTTTCGTACATGCTCGTACATGCTGAGGAGTTCATTTAAATGTTCTTGTCTCTACATTGACCTGCTGCCAGCTGGAGCTTTCTCTTACAACGTGAGCGGGGTGGCATACCGTATTTCCTTAAGGATGCCCCGGCACAAGTGCCGAAGTTTGAGACGGAAGACCAGACGTGAACAACGAGTCACCTGCGCGAGGCTGTCCTCGTGAAGCCGGTCCTCGCCGACCAGTTGCCACTCGAACAGGTCCTCGCGTGTCGACTGCATGTGGGCCTTGGTGTAGCGCCACATGACGCGGTGAAGCAAGGTATTAATTGCCTGCAACAATGGAGCAGAACCGGGCGAAGAGATTCCAATAAATCACACGAAAGTATCTGATCGTAGTGGTTAATGGCAACGAACGTTGTGCAATCGATAAGGTGAGTTGTAGACAAGAATTCGCGTAGGTTAGTCTTTTAAAACATTGTCACATGGCCTTTCCTTACGATGTGAGAGTGGCACGAAAAATGTGGGCGGAAGCATGTCGTAACTAGGCCCGCACGATTCTACGAACAGCTGCTGTCCAGTCACCTGGCAGTTGATGGTGGCGACGCCGCCAACACCGGTGTCATGCACCTCCGCCTGGTGCTGGCGCGCGTCACGCGTAGCTTGGCCCAAGCTGCGGAAGCTCGTAGTCCTCGCCCCGGTGGTTGAAGCGCTGGCTCCTCCCGCCGAACCGGTGGACGCCCGCCTGGCGTAAAGTTGTCCACCTACTCCCACGCTTCGAGAAGGACCACCTCCGATGCATCGAGCAGCTGCCGCTGAGGTGGCGGCAGCACCAGACGCCGGCCCGCCTCCTCGTCCTAGGAGTGCATGTCTGGGACCGGCAGTTTGGCCGGAGGAAGCAGCGCGGCCCGCAGTCGATGAGACGCCTCCAGGGTGGACTGGGCACGGCGCCCGAAGTCAGGACCCGCCGAGCTCGAAAGGCCGCTTGCCGATGACGCGCTCCCCCCTGCTGCACCACCGGACGTGCGCCGAGCTGAGTGGGAGATCCCGATAGGGAACCCCCCACCTCCCGTGGTCCTAGAAGAAGGCGCGGCGACCGCATGCGGTAGACCAGGAGACGCAGCACCTCCGTGACGTGTGCCAGTTAGCGAAACAGGAGCCGATGCAGTAGCGGGGGAACTGCGAAGCAGGCCGCTGCTCGTGCTGGTGGGAGGGCGGTGACAGGTGGCAGTACCGGCAGAAAGAAAACGGCCCCTTCCGGATGGGCGGCCCTTGCCCTTGCCGCTGCCGGAAGCGCCCCAAGCGGCGAGTTCGGCGATCCTGTCAGATCGTCCGCCATTCGAGCGCGGGATGCGCACATCAGGAAGCGAGCGCACGGGAGGCCGGTTGGATGCCAGCAGGTTTTCGCTATCAGACCCGTCGGTTCCCAGGGAGTTGTCGATGGCATTCGGATCCATGGTGAACAAAGTCGGACGCCTCCGGCGGCGTGAGCTCCACCTCCTCCACGTCATCCCATGAGTCCTGCCGTCAAGGTACGGAGAGGGTGGCGGCACGTAGGGATAGGGTGTGCACGGACGTTGTTACCAAGATTATTCGAACAGAATTAACATGTCCCGGGCATTGCTGTCTCTGTGTACGACTTTTTCACGTGTTGCACCTCAAATAGAAATGAGTTTGTTGAACAACCGACCGACGACCAATGTAGGGTGCTAAAAAAAAAGGTGACATATCCGACGGCTTGCAACGCGAAGTTCATCGAGAACGGATAGAGAGGGCGGTTGCAGCAGCAACGAGCTCAAATCGCGCCATTTTTGTTGTCGAAAGGCCCTCATCGTACACCGTTCATCATTGTGCCTCCGCGCGGCGGGTACAACCGGGGAACGTCCAGACTATACAAGTATGATTCGGACACACGGAACAGCCGCTTCCATACATCACGCATCTGCTCTGTTTTTTTGTGTCCAGTACTTATCTGTCGCGGGGGTCTTATTCCGGCTCTTCTCGTCAAACGTGTTGGGAGTAGCAATGATGTCTGGTCCACATACACATGTTCCACACACCCATTACCGGCATCACAAATACTCAAAGGCAACATTGGGGCCAACACAAACGTTCGTGCGTTGCAACCGAAATCATAGTTCATTATTCGAGCGAAGCGAGATTTCTAATCTTGCCTGAGAGGGCTCAGCGCAATATAGGGGCCGATGCAGGAAAAAAAGTGCGTGCGTGTGTTGTGTTCGCTTAAACTAGGTTTTAGAGTACAGGACTTGATTTGTGACTACAGGGCGCACTTTTTTTTTTTACACAGCAGAGCAGCAAACAGCAACAGCAGACAACACGCGCTCAGCGAGCAGACTGAACACACACGCACAGCAGACAACACGCGCTCAGCGGGCACAGCGACACACCAACAGCGCAGAGCGGACACAGCCACAGCGGCCTGCATGGCATGGCAATTGCATGATGAGT